TCAACTCCAACTCATAGTGACCTTAGGTATAACAGAAAAAAATGTTTGGCCATGTGCCATTTTCATGATCATTGGTATGTTTCAATCTACTGTGACCACTGTGTTTTTTGAGCACCTTCCAACCTGTGGGGCTCATCTTCTAACACTATATTGGACAATATTCTGTTGTGATTCCTAAGGTTTTTATTGGCTAATTTTCAGAAGTAGATCACCAGGCCTTTCTTCTTAGTCTGGAAGCTCTGCTGAAACCTGACACCATGGATGACCCTGCTGCTATTAAAAATACCAGTGGTATAGCTTCCATCATTACAGCAACATGCCAGCCACCACAGGACAACAAACTGACAGGCTGTCTCCCATCCTTTCCCAGCCCTCTTCCATAATCCCACTTCTCTCATTACCAACAGAATAACTTCCCAGCCAGCAGCCCAGAGAGACTTCAGGACCTCAAATCCACCGTGGACCTTCTCACCAGCATCACCTTCTTTCGGATGAAGGTAGGAAAGGGGACCCAGACCCATTAGCTCTACAAGGAGGCTTCTGGATTCTCCAGGACTCCCAGCTCCCAGAACAACTAGCGTTTCTCCTGAAGACTAGTGCATTTTCCAAGTAACTTCAGACTGCAGAACCCCTTGTAGCCACTTTCTGGGCACCTCCTGTCCCAGCTGTGTCCACCTATGCCTGTCTCCCTACCTCCAGGTACAAGAACTCCAGAGTCCACCCCGAGCCAGCCAGGTGGTGAAGGATTGTGTGAAAGCATGCCTCAACTCTACCTACGAGTACATCTTCAACAACTGTCATGAACTCTACAGCCGGGAGTATCAGACAGACCCGGTGAGGACCCTGGATGGGGCAGAAGGGAACAGTGGATGCCAACCAGACCCTGGCCCATGTCCTAGCTCTGCCCCTTCCCAATTGATTTAACTACCCTAGACCTCAGTTTCTTCCTCTGTAAAATGAGGGTCATAAACACACATCTCAGTATTAGGGAGAAGATTTAATGAGATATAAGCTTTAGGTAAAATATAGTTAAATGCTTAGCACCTGGCATACAGTAGGTGCAGAGTAAATTCTCTTTGAGTTAAGCTCAGTTGAGTTTGGCATCATATAGTGTACCTGGCATAGAGTTACTGTTCAGTAAATGTTGAGTTGAATTGAGTTTCTTGAATATACTTCAACTCAATTTATTTGAGATCTTTCAGCAGACATTTATCTACACATACAATGTCCCAGGGCTGTAAATAAGGTTTCAAGGAGCTTGTAATCTAGCAAGAGGGAAGGATACACAAATTGGAAATTTACAACCCAGGGTGATTAGTGTAGGCATGGGGAAGCACAGGAAACTGTGGGAACCAGAGATGGCCCCTACTCCAACTCGGGCTTTCAATAGGTGACAACATAGAAAATGAATTCAGATCAATTTGATTTCATGCTGTTCATTTACATTCAGTTGACTTGAATTGACGTTAGTCATTTTTTGTTTAACTGAGTTGAGGTGAACTAAATTAAACTGGGTTGCATTTAGTTCAGCCGTAACCAGTTCAGTGTCACTTATTTCCATTTGGTTCACTTAAGTTAATATGCTAGTTAGAGAGCAGAACTGAGTTGAGTTGAATTAAACTGAATGAAAATTCAGTCGTTTTCATTCATTTGCCTTGAGTTGAAGTTGCTCTTCACTGGGTTCAGTTGGCT